GGATTTTACCAAAATGTTTTTGTTTTGTATAAGAAACATGTAATAAAAAAAATAATACATTCAAGACATTTTTTTTGTAAAATAAGTTGCCACGCAGCGTTCAGACGTGGCGGACCGACGCTTGGTATTCTTCCACAGTAGCGGCACTTTCGAAAAGTTGGGAAGGCGCCCGCCAAAATTTTCCCTATTTTGCTTTCAGTCCGTTCACGTTGGAAAAGTGCGTGCGGTGGCGTGGTAGCTGTGGTAGTATGCTGTTTCCATGGAAACCGCACATCGCCGCCAGGGCCCTGCTTATTGATCATAGCCGGCCGCCGCCGTTGTGTGTTGTGTTCTGCAAAATCCAACGGCCTGTCGATGTCGAGGTGCCTACGGTTGCGTTGTAGCTCGGTCAGAATGCCATCCGAGAGGGGTAGAATTGGTGGAAAGCCATGTCAACCGGGTTCTCTGTTCTTACTTGATACTGCCGATATAGTATTCTTTCTAACCGCAGTAAGAGTAGATAAATATTAAAAGTATCTTGTTCTAAACCAAAAAAAAAAACATAAAAATTTTGACAGTCAATTAACATAAAACATTATGGTTGATTTTGTACTACAGAAAAATGCCCAATTATTTCAAAATCAGAAATTTTCAACTAAATGCGTTAAAGCTTATTGCTAAAAAAATTATTGAAATTATCTGTCCAATTTTTAAGCAGTTTGACAAAATTTAACACAAGTAGAAAAGTTAAGATGTGTTTTATAATATCCATATCAATCTGTATTTTATGCTCCGTTATCTGTCACACTCGAAAATAGCAATTTAACAAAACATATCAGTGGACAAAACTGGTTTTGTATAAAACAGTACCTATTTAATTTCGCTGGCGAATTTCATAATTTATTTATAATTTTACTGCTTATAGGCCAGGAAATATAGAGTTGGACGCGACTTTCTGTTTCGGCAAGCTGAATTTATCACTATAGACGCTAAATATTATGTACAATAACATATTAGTTTCCACAGTCATAAAAATAGGGGGAAGATTGTTTACAGGGTGGTTAATTGTATAATTTTTACGTAAACTCACGTTTTTCGCTTATAACTTTTTTCCGTTCATTTCCACGAGAAAACAGTAAAGTACTTTTTTTAAAAATATTAATTAGAATAATAATTAGAATCAATAGTTATAAACAGAAAAAGTTTATTTATGACTTTTGAATGAACCATTTATAAACTGTGTTATTATTCTCATTCCTTATCACTGTCTAATAACTCACACGAAATCTGGAATCGGTAAGTTGAATAGTTTACAAGTTATGGCCTATAAACAAATTAACTAATTATTAGTCTGGAGTCTGGACGATCCCGAGGATCTTTCACAATCGCACTGATTTTTTTCATGGTAGATTTCATAATAATATCTACATTGAAATCTATATATTTTTTTAATTTCAATTTGCAACCTAGAAATTTTTTTAATTTTTAGCCTTAGTTGCAAAATGAAATATACGACGCACGCGCGTGATATAGTTATATATTATTACATATTCGGAAAGCTTATGAAAAGAGCTTTAAGCTAAAAAAAAATCGTCAAGATTCGTTGAAAAACAACGGAGTTACAGACTGTCAAATATATTATTTTCAAGCGAATTTCGCTTATTTAACGGCAGGACTATGAATATTTCTTCGGACTCGCTGTCGTTCGCTTCCCCCACCCTTCCGCACTGACTTGTCACAATATTTCTTATGCACTTTACATACTTCCACAAATGAAATATTTTTATCTGGGAAAGTACTCGGGTTGCCGGTTATGACAGTATTTTATTGCCGCTACCAACCTAATTTGTTTAACAATAGGCCGTCAACTTTGACAGTCTGTAACTCCGTTGTTTTTCAACGAATCTTGACGATTTAGTTTTTAAATTAGTTAAAAAAATAAAATATTTTATATTTCATTTTTGGTCAAAATTTCATTTTTGGTCAAAGAAAAAAATTGCAACAATGTAATTGCTATTCACAGATCGACCACGACAAATTTTACATTAATCAGCGGCACAGTACAAAGTTATAGAGGATATTGTTTAAAAAAATATATTCTGTATCTTTATATACTGTCATCCAAAATTTGGATATGATTTTAATAAGGTAAGCAAGCATTCATTGGGTATTGTTTGTTACCTATGATTTTTTTATATTTCCACATTTTCGAATAAATAAATGCTACATTGAAACATCCACTATATCACCCTCCTGACATCCTACTATTATCGTCACCAGACACCGTAACAACGACACCAATACATATTTAACACATCTAAATTCTTACCCTAAATTAATATGGGGGCTTACTTTTTGGTACCGCTGAAATGAATTTGACAGGCTCTCTTATTTTGCATATTTGCATACATTGTAGGGGAAGCCGAATATTATCTGTCGCCTCAAGCTTCAATGGCACCCGAGAACAACTATCAAAAGAATAGGGTAACAGCATACATAAATAAATAAAATATTTAAATTTAAATTTTAGTCTATTTCACTCATTCCGTTCTAGCCAAACAATATATTTTTATGACCAGACGCGTCATTATTATATCGACGAAACTGAAATTTATTCAAGTGTTTCAATCTTTTATTGGTAACTAAATTGAATTTTGAAGTATTAAAAAAAAATGAAATGTAAACGAATACATAATTGAATTAGTGAAAATATGAAATATTTTTGTCAAATATAATATGGTTTTGTGAAATGTACCTAATTAGTGGTTTTGTCAAAATATTTTCTCCATTTCTATACATATTTCCAAAAGGTAAATTATATACAGGGTGTTGTGTTGTGTACCCACAAGCATCACAACAATTACTCTGAAAAATTCTGTTCCAGGCAACTCATTAGTGCTTTTATATGAATTTGAATCATTAATTATAAAAAAAGTATACCAAATACTTGAATTGTTTGAAAGTTCTCAAATAAAACATTGTCGTCGAAAAATCATCTTCAAGCTGACATATCTTCTTAAGAAGTAAAAATTGCGCACCATTTTGTTTTAATTATGACCAGAGAATACTCTGTATAAGTTTGGTAGACATCTTAAGGGCCCCTGGCGCATAATTAAGAAGTTTTTAATCAAAAATGATTGTGTATCAATTTACTTAATTAATGGGCCACTATGGTATTTTTATTTTGTTTATAGTAGTTTTATTTACTATTTAATATTTACTTCAATGTTGTCCACAATATTCTTGGTGTTGCAAATGCAACACAAAATTTACTGATTATTTTATATAATTATAATATATTATAATTATGTAATATCTTGACTGGCACAAGTTGTTAAAGTCTTAATAATTAAAAAATTAAATGAAAATTCACTGGTATAGAAAGTCCGTGCTACTATTTTCTTTGCATTTTCAATAGTAATAATTTGATTCAAAATTATATACATAACCTTGGTTGTATGCCAAAGATATATAAAGTAAACAGTAGGTTAAAGAACTCTTTATTCGTTTTTTAATTTTATTATAGATAATTTTGGATAGGTATTTATGCCATATAATCCATGCATACGTTAATAGCGTGTTGCATGAGAATAGATTTTCTGGATATTAATAGAACACATGAATTTAATAGTAGCGAGATAAGCTTCATTGAAAATTCAACCTTCTGTGAATTATAGAAAGTTGAGGTTAGAAAATTTCGGTAGTATCTAGTGAAAAGCATGTTGTAAAAAGTTGGGTGAGTAAATACAACATTCCCATTTTATGCGATTTTCATGTGTTGTGAATATTATGTTATTAGTTACCCAATAATATTAAAAAAGGATTGAAATTTAATTAAAATAATTAAAACACGTTTCTTGAATAATAGGAAAATATCCAAGAAAATATTTTTAGAGTATTTTTACAGGAACCATTGCGTTAAGAAATCATTTTTTTAGGTATCTGACATTCCTTAATGTGTGAAATTTATTAAACAGCCTCAAATGGTATCAAGCTAAATCTTACGTTTTTCTAATCGATTTTTTAAAATATGTAGATATGAAAATAAGTATATTTAGGTATCTATTATCAAGCATCATTTTTTAGGCAAGTTAATAACAGAAGAATATAACATTATTTATTTTATTTTTAATAAAATTAACACAGTAATATTACTTAAAAAAGGTGAAACATGTTTGTACATAATTTTTATAGATGTGAATATAAAGAAACATAGTTTACTTTCTCAGAATTTTCAAAATTAACCACGAATGTTAGAATATTGTATAGAGTAGATTTGTATCAAATCTAGGACCATCTTTGGATATATTCCTAGTTAATTAATCTCAACTAAATACAACATAGTTGATCATATGATCTTAGTTTACATTTTTTAAATTATTGGTTAGGTATAGCAACATTTTCTTATCATATCGACGTATCTATCAAATCCACATATAAATATCAGTTCTCACGATCATGATATCCTACAAAATATCTGCATATAAAATTTGAATAGTATTTCAAAATGTCGACAAGCGTAGATTATATTAATATATAATAGTTACAATAGTAATTTTATTATATTGTATTGGAAGCTACTTATTGTTTATAACATTAAGATCTAAAATAAGGAAGATAGTGAGAAATCTGTTTCTCAATCAATTCCATTAGAACCCAATTTATCTGCGCAATAAAAAGGAAACAAACAAACGACAATATTATAGAAGAAATCAAAGCGGATATGACAATATTAAATATCTTTTAATTTTCCGATCTATTAAACTCCGGATACAATTGCTAAAAGTATTCAAAAGGATAATGAAATAATTTAGTTGAGTTCATTGAGGAATTAGACGGCTATACGCCGGCGCCCCCTAGCGTCTGGGAGATAAACTGTGAAGTGAGAATTCCTGAAATCTGAACATTGTTTTGTATTTCAGGACTCTCGTTTGTCCTACGACCCTGCGCAACTTACCCCTAGAATATTGATCGAATTTTGAGGGGATTCCTAACAACTGCCATACATATTCATACGATATCTAACCTTAAAAAGCATTTTGTGTAATCCTGATTCCCTGAAGAAATGTAAGTACGTAAATATACTTTACTTATTTTTACCAAGTCAGTTGTTTTTTACTACAAAAAATTGTATGTTTAAAATACAGACAAATACAAATACATCTATATTTTATTCAAAATAAGGTTATGGGAGAAAAATATGATTCATAATTCAAAAATATTTTTTCTTGAATAGGAAATATTTTCTTTCAAACCGTGTTTGAAAAGTAGACACACGGTTCACAAATGTTGGAAAAATACCTGATTGATCTAGCATTATATAATTTTAAGTTAAAAATAACGTGACAGTTTGAAAAATAAAATTCATCTGAAATGTAATAGCTATGTTTATTGCTAGTTTTACACTTTAGGAGAATACAAGTATTTGAAAAAAAATAGAGAAATTACTTATCGGAATAAATATTTTACATAATTAAAATATTATTAAAAGTTGGATAAAATACGTATTTGTGTGTATGTTCGATATATTTTTTCAATAAAAGTGCTCAAACTGTAAGTATTTCTTAGGTAAAAATAAACAAATTGTTCGTATAAATCTTACAACTACAACTTACATTTTTGAGATATGGGCCAATTTTTCAGTGAGAAATATTTTATTTGATATTTCAAGAACGCATAGTGACAGCTTCACAAAATATTGTAACTTCTCGGCAAATGACTTATAAATAATTATTTATACATATTTGGTTAAAGCGATACCTATATTTACGAAAAAACTTAATCTAGTCGAATATTCATTATTTCATTGATTCTGGAATAAATTGCATAATAATGAATTAACTATGGCGTGAATTAATAAAAAAAAGACATGAAACTTTGAATGTTATGTTTAATTAAGTGGGAAATAAAATTACAAAATAACAATATTCAAATAAAAACAAATGTAGTTTCTTTAAGAAGAAAAGCACCGTTTTCTCAATATTTTCTGTTATTTTTTTTAATGACGATAATAATATTAGATTGTTATATATTTTTTTATGTTTAATTTATGTTGGGAGCCAACACCCTTGTACCTACGACACTGGTAATCGCATAATTACTAGCATAATTTTGGAAGGAATAAGAATTAGTATTAAGTACTCTATAAAATTTCTCTATGAATTTTTTGATAAGAGTTATTGAAAAATCATAAATAATTGATATCTCTTTATGCATGTCTTCGTGCAACAACCTGTATAAAGTTACGACAAGCGAACTATTATAATACATGTATATTGTACTCGATATATATTGTTATTCCTATAAAATTTTTTGCACATTTTCATAAGGTAAAAATAAAACTTGATAGATTTAAAATTATTTGAAAATTTTTAATGTAAGTGTAAGTATGGATAGACCTTAATGTGACCTTCAAAGAACAACAACAATGATTCTAAAGTTTTTGTATTATTGATTGAATTTAATATACCGTATGATCAAATAAAGAAGAACTCTTACTATAAGTAGGTATCTATTGGAGGATATATAACAAAATATTCATAAAAAATAATTATAACTACAAAAAATATATGTAATCATCTACTTAATTTATAGACAGTACATTTGCTGCCTATTGTCTATAGAGTGTCTGATAAAAAATAGGCTGTCAATTTCACTAAATTCTACGATAAAAATTATTGGCGCTAGTTCATATAAAATTTATCGACAGATGTTACATGGCATGTAGCTCGCAGAGTAGTTGTTTCCAATAATATCACTAGTTAAAAAACATATTCCTTTTAGAATTATCTTTCATCCATACATGTTAATGAGAATTGAACTTAAATAGTGAGTGTACATTTTTCCAATATATTTCTTTTGAAATTGTTTTGTTGCAAGTAGTTTTAAACCGTAACAGATACAGAAAAGAACGGAAATCATGCAATTTCCGTCTGCTCCGTCGCATTATGATGCAAATCTCGCCGAATGCGACAATACATAAATTTGCGACGCGCTCCCCGTTTTGTCCTCTTGACCATACAAATTAATAAATAATACCCATAAGTACAAACCCTCGCTGTTAGGGCGGAATGAAAAATGGGGGACATCAATACTCCTGCACCGCTGTGGACTTTCATTGAATCTTATTGAAATGTAAGTGTTGACAGCAGCATCGCAGATTGTAACGACAGGCTAATGAAGGGGTTCCCCAGGGAGGGTCATTAGCGTCCGATAACATCTCTGGTTACAGATAGAGGGCGTGCTGCTCCATATGTGCAACGAGAGTGTCGCTCTCAAGTGCTCCCCAGCCTCGAAGCGGACGAAGGGGTATCTGCGATGACTTGTTCGCCAATTGAGTGTCGCAGGAGTCCGTAGTTTTGTAGGGGGTGGCCGAACACCTGTTACGTTTGATCGAAAATCTTTTGTTTGAGAAAAAAATGTTCTTTTGGAAGAATTTTACCATTTCTGCCAAGCTCTGTGGATATTTTCGTTTGCTTCGCTATAAATTAAGAGCATATCATAATATTCGCGATTGCTAAATAAACGCACCATTTTCAAAAGGAAACTTGGAAATACGGCTATTAAATATACTCTCGAAAAACAGCACAGCAATCACTACAACAATTTATTACAAACTGACTTTCGAATACAGTCCTGCTTCATAAGAAACCTACAAACTCGTAAAAACTGTTACAGAATTTTTTGTAAGTACTCGCCGCTATAAAATGCTTGTATTTCAGCAGTTCCAAAACAGTTTTAAACACATTTTTAATTAGCTATTTTCTCTTTGCCTTAAACTTCCGATACAAGTTTGTGACATCAGTTTTTGCTCCATTTTCACCCCTTTAAATTTTTGATAAGTTCATTAACACCCTGTATTTTTTTTACTCTGTCGTAAAGAAATTTATCTAGCAAAACAAAAACCAAATGTATCTGCCAGGGTTTCATTAAACAATATCCATTAGTTATTTTCATAATGTCTATTATATATTTATTTCTAAATATTATGTACTTCATTAATCTATAAATGAATTACATTTTAGCAAAATACTCACAGGATCTAAAGAATATTGTTATTCGAAAATCTAAATAATGTAAGATAGATAGCTGCTCGAGTATAAAAGTATTAAAATGAGGTAATAAATTAGCACAACAATCAATTTAACAATTTAACGTTTATTTTTTTCTTGTTTTAGATAACCTTCCATTAAAATGGAAATCATAATCTACACATATTTATTATATTTAACAGCACTTTGTTACGCACGAGGGCCTCATCACCCTAGAGGGGAAAAAGTTGTTAAAAGGCATGTCCATTATAAACCTACAAAAGAAGAATCCCAAAAAATTACCGAAGATGTGCAACTGCTACACGACAAGGAACATTTACAGGTGTTGTTCTACTTACAGTTTGTTTAATTAATCATCCTCATAAACATTTAATAGGTACAATTTTCTGAGTGTGATTCACGTCTATCTTAAAACAGGTGTGGATGATTTCTAGGAACATTTAGAAGATGTCATTCCGGAACCAAACTTTTCCAAGATGACCGACGAAGAAGTAGAATTTTATTATTTTCAAGTCCACGACACCGATAAGAACTCGAAGTTAGACGGTTTGGAAATATTACAAGCAATGTCTCATACTAGCCAACACGCTTATGATGAAAATGGAAACGAAGTCCCAACGGAGACGAACGCGGAAGATTTTGACCTCTACATCGGTAAGAAATGGGTGATTGAATAATTATACTTTGTTTATACTTACTGATACTGAAATAAAATTGGTTCTGTACTGACGATATTTTAATATAATTTTTCTTCAGAATTGATAGATCAAGTTTTGGAAGAAGACGACGCCGACCATGATGGCTATTTGAGCTACTCAGAGTATGCGTCAGGAAGAAGACGAACCAAGAAGAAGAGAGAAGAACACAATGTTCCAGTAGTCCAAATGATTCCTTAATTAAAAAAAGAAATGTAATAAGAATATTTATAAATTTTTAATAAAAAAAGCTTACTTAAATATTGTTCCGTTAGAATTGCAGTCAGAATTTTTTTTAAATAGCTTAGCTCTTTTTTAATAATAGACCCTTTTAGTGTGACGTCACATATTTAGGCAACCTGCAACAAATTGTCATAGTTTAAATTGTACTGACCGAATTTGACCCTTGTGCCTACTATTTACATAGATGCTATAGAAATGAACAATTTCAAATTAATTTATTTTTAAAAGGATTTAGAAGTATTTATGAACAACCAACACCTGTTTCATAAAATAGATACACTAATGTGCTTAAAACTTACAAAAAACGATATAAAAAAATATTCTTAAATTTAAGTAAATTAACAATTTAACATTACCCATGTTATTCCTAATGCTCATGGTTGGACGGGATAGCCTCATACGCAGGTGAGACATTGTTGATATGATATCGCTGTCATCATTAACGTATTTTCTCTTGTTTTGTTTAATCTTGACATTTTTTAGTTCTACTAGGTATTTTTATTGTTTTTCTTGGTATTGTACTGTGTCAGTGTGTTTATCGAGTGTTTTTTTCTTCAAATGGTTTATTATAGACGTTCTCTTAACCATAACCAAACATTTCTTGAATGATATCCTGTTGCGAGGCTACTCCACTTACATGAAATTATCTTCAATGCGCATGCTCAGTACCTAACACTGATATAATTTTAATTTATTAATTACTATAAAAGTCAATATTGTTCTATAAGTTTAAATATATAAATTCTATAATTCTATAAATTTCTTATATATTTCTAATATTGCCAGAATATCGCAATATTTAAGGTCATGAGAAAAAAGCCATTTTTTGGCACTTATGTCCAAAGTACATAAGGTCGAAAATCGATCTAGTAAAAATACTGAGAAATTCTTCATGACAATGTGCACTACGGCGTTGCCTATTATTTGGCGTATGTGACGTCACTATTAAAATGGTCTATTGTAGGCTAAAACTGTTACTGACAAGAAATAATGTAAATACTTTTACATTTATTTTAAATTTTCTGAAGAAGTTAAAAATTGGATCATCTCATACAATCAAAACTGCATCAAGTTTTTAAGGATATTTTTAATAACGAAATACGTATACAAATCATTTGGAACATATTATTTAATAACTAAATTAAGCATACATATATCTACAAGATTCATTTTGTTAACAAGTGCAGAGTAATCAAATCAGGAGGAGGATTTAAACAAAAACATTAAATTTACACATTACATGAGTTACAGTTACATCTATTTACACTGTCTGATTACGCTATGGAATGAATGACATGTTTGAAGAATAAGATGTAGACTTAGGCAAAGAAAAATCATCTTTACAGGTATTACAAAATTGTAAAATTATATTTGTTCTTTATTTAAATTCAGTATGTTGGAATTTTGTCTTGCTATAATTACTTAGGATATTTAAGAGACAAGTTTTTAAATTCATCGGGTCAAAAATCGAGAAATTAATACACTGAATCAGAAATGACGTCATTAATGATCTTGATGGAATGCCAATGACAATTAAAAAAAACGCCCACTTTTTTTCTAACCTCATTATTTTGACAAATAATAAATACTGATGCAAATAACTAACTATGCCACAAATAAAAAATATGTAATTTCAGATAATAATTTCATTTTCATTACATAACTCAACCATTTCCTCTCTTAGTCTAAAATGATTTTTAAAATACTTAAGTGCATATCTTTTGTCTAACTATTTCCATAAAATTTTTATCGTTTAAATAATGTCATCTAAGTTCTAGTAGGAAAACGTCTTCCTTTTCACTTTCTGAATTGATGAAATTAGTACCTACTGTTCTTGCCATGTTTGTTATTTTAACTAAAACAAATTCCATTACAATTATCATTTTAATACGATATTTAAAATGTAATAATGTAAGTTAATTTAACTTCTTTCTACTTCTGAACAAGGCAACGACCCTATTTATAATGTTGTTCAAATAGAAATTTAATGTTTTTATTTAACCTAAATGCTTGTTTGTAATTTCCAGTATTTTTTGTACACTTTACGACAATAAATTCATAAAATATCGTTTAAGTATATGTTATTTTAATAAATACTTTTGCCTACATATAATAAACTTGATAACTAAAAAAAAATATAATATCAACAATTGTTATGAACACAGGTATACTACTGGCTCTTATCTTAAGTGATTACAAAAGCAACAATATATTTGGTCTTTTAAATATTAATAATTTAACTGTAAACTATAGTACTAAGTACTACGATCCATTATTATTACACTCAAATCTGTCGCAAGACCCTCTTGCCAGTCCCACATTGGCAGCTTGCTCCATTTCTTGGATTACGTACTCATATGTAACGTCCGTATGCATCGAGAACATTTTCGCCATCTTCAGCAGCGTTTCACCGGCAGCGATATATTTCTTCGCCTGATGAGGTTGCTGACAGGATATGTTCTGCAAGCAACCAGGAGAACCTTCCAAGAAAAAAATTATGTCCATTAAAGAACTAGAATAAAAAATAATCTGCTTACCTGACAAATAACTAAGAAACATTAACATCTCCTCATCTGTCAAAAGCTTCTCTTCTCCGTCGATGCTTCTGGCATAGCCTCCTTTCCAGGTACCAGCTCCTAGTGAGCCAGCGGCAAATATAAGAGCCTTTAGCAGGACCAGGACTAGGAGATTAGTCAGGTTGAGAGAAATCACTTGGGAGGAACCTGAGCCAGATGACGAGAAACCTCGAGTCATGAAATTTGAAGCTAGAGTGCTTAAAACACTTCTAGTATCAAGGCCTCTGCAAGATATAATTGAAGTATTAAAAATCGCACCGGAAGCGTTAGGTGGACGCCATTATTTTAGTTTAAAAGATATTAAAGGTTGAAGTTTGATTATTTTAAGACAAATTTCTGTTTTGCTTATGAATTTTATAACTCGTTAACAAAAAATCATTATGAAATGCGCAATTCATGGTGTTGTAGGAAATTAACTGCTCTACAAAAATGGTCTCTTATGATTAGTCGATTAAATAAAGCGTTTAAAAGATAATCATCGTTAAACTTCAATGCACGCCAATTTTAACAGTTTTTGATTATTAATTCGGAAAATTTCAATTTAGTTTAAGTTTCAGGGAAATTTATACAAATTTGAGTTTCTAGTGAAGCTCCTAATGCAGTCAAAAAAATTCTTCGCTATCAATGGTTAAAATTACAAAAAAGTTTTAAAAAAATCAGCACAAAACCAAAATGTTTGAAATTTTATAACTCGCTTGATAATTAAATAAAAAAACTTTTTAATAACAAATTGAACTTTTTTTTTCTTTAAGATTAATACTTTTCATAATAAATTTATAACAAAAACGTTATTTTTTCAAGATTTAATGAATCATTGACTCAGTCAGAAATAATGCACTAATTTTTTTCGATGTAACCAAACATGCTTACGACTAAAAAAACTAGAAAAATAGTTTAAACATTTCTCTGTTCATAGAAACTCAAACTTGTATAAATTTCCCTGAAACTCATAAACTAAATTGAAATTTTCCGAATTATTATTAATCAAAAACTGTTAAAATTGGCGTGCATTGAAGTTTGACGATGAATATCTTTTAAACGCTTTATTTAATCGAATAATCATAAAAAACCACTTCTGTAGAGCAGTTAATTTCCTACAAAACTATGAATTGCGCATTTCATAATGATTTTTTGTTAACGAGTTATAAAATTCATAAGCAAAACAGAAATTTGTCTTAAAATAATCAAACTTCAACCTTTAATATCTTTTAAACGGTGAGGTTTACGAAAACATTTAAGAGACCTTTTTTGTAGGGCGTTCAATTTCCTACAAGTATATGAGGAGAGATATTTTTAACGAACAGTTGATAGAGAGATATGAATTTTTTTTTCTAATACTGAGGAAAAAATGGAAAACTGTAAAACGGAGGACCTTCCTATTAAGATTAGGAGCTCATATTTGGAGAGAATTTTCTAGAGGTGTCTAGCAATCTATTTTTCAGAGTATAAAGTAAAAAAAAAATAGTCGATTTTTTTGACCCACACTAATAAACATCTATTAGTTTTATTGCAAGTATATATTTTCACAACTGAAATTTGAATCACCATAAAAATCTGCATAGAAATTGTGTTTTCTAGCACAATATTTCCAATTTTTCTATGCATATGGTCCAGGACATGCAAAATACAATAACGGATATTGTAAAAACTCACCTTCCAATCATATTACTATCACTTTCATCCATTGCCGCTGCACTCACGGAACAGAACAGCAAACCCGAGCACAAAATAGTTGATGCCAACTTCATTTCCATCTTAACGACAACCGCAAATATGAATAGAAAAAATTCGTCTCAGCTTTATATGACATTATTATTAATTTACTATTTATTCCATGCGTGAAAAACAAAGTAAGTGCAATGTTGTAACAATGGTAGTTATCCCATTGTTTTGTAGCTATAAGTACTATTGTTTCTGCTCCATATCATGAACAGGATAATTTGGAATTTTCAATAAAGAAAATATTAGAAATTCTTCGTACACACAATGTGTTTGCTTTCTTTTATGAAATTCAAAGTTCGCACGTGGTAAACATTGAATAATTTTTTTAAATACCTAAATTGTTGGGATTTATACAAAATTATTTTCACATTATGCTCTTCTATAAGTTATTTCAATGTTTTTGTAAATATTTTTCAACAACACATGGCTTTGCTTTAATACGGGAAATAATGAGATTTAGTATTTTGATATTTGTGATCATCCTCCTTCTGCAATGACTTACTTTCAACAAGGGACATTTCGATGATTATATTGTTAAACTGAAGCAAACAATTATTGTAAGAATAAATTTTATAATAAATAAGTAACAACAAGATAATGTAATTAACAAAAATTATAATACTCTATAGTTAAAACACATGGCACTTTTCTAAAGGATTCATAACACTGGCCTCCGGACACTCGAAATCCTTGGCGAAATTTTCAGAATTTTTCAGGGCATTTATAACTCTGTATCTCATGGTAGAATGAGTATCTTTATCAACTGTCCACGGTACACTGTCTAAATGTTTGTAGCAGTTCACGGCTCCAAATTGTATCCAAAATAGTTGACTGGGTGAGAAAGAAAGGCCAGGAAGTTGCTGTTCCTTCTCGTACTGTTCTGCCCATGCTACGTAAGCTTCGTATGCTACGTCGATGCCGACCAAGTCAGCAAAATTTTCAGAGATAAGCGTTTCGTCGTTTTCCTGAAAAAAATGGTCAATAACTAGTAATATTGGATGTGACTATACTGTTTCTAATAACATCCAAAAGATGAATAAAAATTTAAGTTTACAAAATAGTGTAACAAATCTTATTAGATTTTGGTAATGTTTAAGGAATGAAAATAAATTAACAAAATAAAATCTTAGAAACATTGTTTCAGTTCAATCAAAATGAAATAGATTGGTTTGTAGTCTTCCATGGCAGTTGTCAATATGGACATCTTAATATTTCGAAAAATATATCGTTCTCTTATTTAGAAGAAATACTGAAATTGGAGATTTTATTGTCTGGTCGGTTTTTGTACTTGCTATGTATACTAAACGATCTTTGGTTTAAAATTACTGGCGATCTATTTCAATTCCGATTAGTTTCTTCTATCGTTTGTGGAGAGCCTAAGGAATACCTAAACTTCTCTCTCCAATAATTGCCTTGTGTATGCCTTTTTTGTTATTCTTTAGTGACAGTTGTTTTCCATGCTAACGGAACTCGTAGTTTGTCCAATATCTAAATCAGGAACAGAACAGCAGGGACGAACAATTTCAATAGGTATACACTTTAATTTCAAGATGTCTTCTTAATAAAGAAGCAAAATATTCGTCGAAATGTCAAGATGTCTACACCATTGGCATAGTCAACAACTTAGAAATTGGCTAGCAATATAATTTCTTCATATTTAATGTCAAAGTGTTTCCGTGTCAAAATTAAAATTTTTCTCTTTCTGTCTCTCTCGAACTTTTGAGAACGTCAAGTTTATTAAGATGCACTATCTAAAATTGGAAAACATACTTACACTTGTCGCCAGTTCAGGACTTATACACCTCATTCTTGAGATCAAAGCTTCCAAATTATCATATTGCCATAGATCAGTGGTATTTAGGAAATATAATTCATTGATCGTCTCAGAGGTACTGTTTAACCACGTAGCGATGATTTCTTGCTCTTCCTCAGAATCATGGGTAGTGGCAACCTTGCTAAAGGCGTGGGCAATTTCATGACCTACAATGCTACCCAATGCTCCGTAATTTAAGTAATTGGGTCTGCCTGAATCAAGGAAAACGTCTTGGATGATACCTGCCGGCAAAACTGAAAAATAAAAGAAATTGCAAATAAAAACCATATTTATAACTTTTTACTACCGGAATGATATGCACTACGAATTATTTACTTACATATAAAATTTTCTCTTTCCATGTACGCAGCATATATGTTGAATGTTTTCGAAAAGAAGAACTTGGTTAGAAAGTCTACTTGGGTAATATTTTCTGTTTCCAACTGCTGCCTAAGTACGTCCTTATTCTTTTCTCTTATCATGTCAATTGGGTTACTTGTGGTGAATTCTAGCTGAAAATAGAAAAGGATCAATCAAAGGCGAATTGAGGTGCATTGTCGAAACCTATTGCGGTTCGCTGGAATTGTCTGTGCCTTAGCTGTGATCTACGATCTCTGATTTGCCGCACAGGTTATTTTTTGGTAATGAATTTAGTCCTTCAGTTTCTGTATTTAAAGTGAAATCACCCTGTATAAGGGACTGTGTTTTACAGAATCACAAAGCATTTCTTTTAAGAAATATCGAAACCAAGAACGGTTTATTGTCTATCTGGATGAAATTTGGTGGATAATGAGATAACGGTACACTAATGTTAGCAGAACAAGAAGTCGAAAAATTATCATGCATGCTGGTTCAGGGGCTAGTTTTGAAGAGGTAGCAGAATTAATTTTCCGTTCTGTACTAGTACATGGCGACTATCACGGACAGACAAACAAGATAATTTTAAAAAAAATTACTATTCAACAAACTGTAAACCTCAAATTATGGTATACGACAACGTCCTTCACCACATTCTTCTTAATATTGTTAAATTTGAAGCAGTTTGGAAAAACATGAATGAAAGAGGGAGAGCAAGGTTTAGGCAAGTGCATCTGAAGGAACAATTGAGCAGATTTTTTATATTGAAAACTACTTATTTGACACAAAAATGACCTGTACAAAGGTTGTAGGATTTCGCATGGGTTCCACGTCAGTGATCTCTTGACCTAAAACTTGATACGGACCTTGGATTCAAACTCAGAGACTTCAAAAACGGTAATCGATTTATTTTTTCTTGGTTTGACCATTAAATGATCTTGAAATAATCCTCAAATGACCTGATGCAGACAAACTGACCTCAGAATCGAGCTCAGCTATCCTAATAACCTATATAACAGGAGGTTAGACTTAATTGCACGGTTTTTTTATTTAACCTTAAAATGACTTTGAACGATCTTTAAATGACCTAATACAGACAAACTAACCTCGGATTTCAATCCAGCGCCCCCAAAATTTTGTATAACAGGTGGTTGGGCTTGATTGTTTGACTTTTTCTCAATTTGACCTTGATATGACCTTGAAACAACCTTAAAATGGCCAGATACAGACAAACTAACCTCCGATACAGAATCATCGACCCAAAAAACCTACACTCCGGGATCCTTTGATTTAATGCACTTTTTTTCAATCTGACCTCTAATTGACCTTGATCCTGTCTATGAAGGGGGAGGCCCTTTCACACAAACATTTTCTATAATAATTGGAATGGCACTTACATCACTCAATTTAAGAAAGTCCTTTAAAATGTTCTCATCAAAATCCAAAGAATGTTGACTTATAATTTCCACAATATTGTTCACCTTATTTATCCCCGCTTCTTTCGTACCTTCATCTATCCAATCAGCAGCATTCAGTCGATTTACAAATTGATTCTTTATATTTGAAATCATGTCTCTAATAGTCTCTATTCTATCTTCATTGATGTATCTTTGAATAAATCGTGCTTCTGCTATACGAGGAAATCTAAAAAATTAAATAATTTTTTTATTATTTTAACATTACTTACTGGACAGAAGTTTGACTAATGAAGTAATAAATGATATTATTGTTACATATACAAATAATTGGTTGCTAACCTTGCGATGGATTCTGCGATACAAAATTTGAAACGTGTGTTAATTTGCTGTTGCTCGTGTACCATTAAGTTTGTGAAATTCAAAAGATTTTCTCTCACCGGTTTGGCTAAGTAGAACCCAAATTCTTGTACAATTTTCCATATGATGAAGTCAGCTTGGACTCTATAAAGAACTAATAACATTAGCTTAGGCAAAATATTACATTGTTTTTGATAAAGGGGCACTAATAATACTGGTCATACATGTATCAACTTTGTCAATTGAAGTTTGCAATGTCATTGTATCTTGAGAAGAATTAGTTTTTGAAGACAGCTTGATATCGTCATATCATAAACGACTGAATGAATTGTATCATTTATAAAAATGAGAAACAGTGAGGGTCCAAGAGAGGGACCCTGTGGGACATCAGATGTAGCAACACAATCGGTTGACTTGAACACATGGACTTCAACAAACTGTAAGCCTTCAGAAAGGTAAGATTTTAACAAAGTAGAATGGCAAATCCGTCGCCGTAAGAGCGACATCCCTCTCAGCATGGGTACAGGTGTAAATGTTTAGGAAAATGCAGTAAGGGAAGTTTTACCTTTTAGGTGTTTCTGCAAGTAGAAGATTGAGTTGCCTTAGGTACGTCTCATCTAAAAGAATTTCGGAATCATCTCCTTGGTACATGTAATCTTTAACCACATTAATTAAAAAATCCAACCACGGAAGTGCAGGAACAGTACTATTTAACTCATATAAAGGAAAGATTGTTATATCTTGACTTACAGCAATCTAAAAGTATCGAGATATATTTATATGAATTGTTTCTAATAACTTCATTTTTAGTTAATTGGATATCTTTTTAGATCAGTAACTAACGTTATATTCAAAACGAATTAATTAAATAATCACTTACTGATTCAAGATCTTTCTCAAATTCCAATATTCTACCCATTTCATTCAGTGCTATAGTACTGGAAGCACCTAAGTCAATCGCTGTTTCAATCATTAAATTAAGGTAAGCAGACTCTTTATAATACCCATTATGTTTTATTATTTTTGGAGGATGAATCTAAAAAGAGAAAAATGAATGACCAATTACATTTTATAATTTCAGTTTATAATAATATTTGTTACACTTACACCAAGCCTATTGTCGTTAAAAGTTAACTCGAAGAACCACTGAAAGGGTAGTCCAAACTCCATGCATTTTATAATAAATTCGTTTAACTTGAAGTCCTCCTCTTTCCAATTCTGACCCTCCAGAATTGGCCAACCGCCAAGTTCCCCCAATAAATTCATGAAAGGCTCTAATCCTTCCTCGTCGATTGCGGTCACATCCATACAAGATTGGTAAAACTTTTTCTGTTGCAAATAGATACCTTCCTCATCTCCAGTGATTGGTTCTGCTATTATAGCGTTTAACTTGTTCGCAGTGTTTAACTTTTGGGTGTAATACTGAGAAGGACTATTTTTTTCGTGAACTTTCTCCATAAAACTGCCGCAAGTGAATTGGTAGAAGTCATAGCATGGATCTTGAGATACGTCCATGGAAGATACTATATGCAATGCTGCCTTTAGGCAGTTTTCAGTTAAACATATATCATCTGCAATCAAAATAAAAGAGGCTATGTCATTGACAAAAGCTATAATTATATCATGCTACCAGGAATATTCAATAGTATACAAAGTGATGGTGATCTAATGGAAAAGTACATAGAGATTCCAAATGTAAATCAAATAGATTCCGTACCATAGAAAAAAAAAATGAAAAAATGTAAAAAGATATAAGTTATAGAGAAATAAAAATGAAAGATGAAATTTCGTTGAGGAAAGAATAAGAAAAAGGAGGCTAGAGGTGAATAATAATAATTAATAAGGTTAGGAAATGGCGAAGATAAGAAAGAATATTACTCGAAATTATCTAGTTTAATATAAGATACAGAAGGTATAGAAAAACTGTTGTCTGAAATAAGCAATAAACTGGGAAATATTGCAGAAAAATGGGGAGAACATAAAAAAGCGGGGATGGTTTGATTTGGAGTGTGAAATAGTTAGACAAAAATATAAAAATGGGAATATTAAGAACAGAAATGGAAGATGCATGAGGGTATTATAAAGAGCAAAGAAAGAAGTATATGAAATTATATGCTAAATAAAAGGTTCATCAGTGAAATTAAGATAATGACAATAAAAACAAAAAGATAACTTTATCAAGGAATAAAAAATGAAAAAGTGGCAGGAAAAGGTAGTAGCAGCAAAGACGATGTTTTATAAAAACAAATTATCACTGATGATAGTGTACAGGAAGAAATTTTGAAACTATGAATGTCCTTTTAGGAGCGCTAAAAGTATAAAAAGCTTAATCTGATAAAAATGACAGTAATAAGAGTAAAGTATAAAAGTAAGTATTTAATTAATTAAAAAATCTGCGGTACAAGACAGAGGGACCTTTTATCTTCATTATTTTTCAATTATGCATTACAGTGTGTAATAAAAATAATCAAGAAAAAGTTATGTGCATTTTAAAATTAGACCAAGCAGCGGAAAGAAAGGGATTCCAAATTAATGAAAACCAAAACATAGGATATGAGTATTTTTACAATTTTGTCGGGTGTCCCCCAAGGTTCGATGTTGCGACCTTTGATATTTATTTTGTTCATAAACGACATTACGAATGACAGCATTATCTATATCTTCTTTACGCTGATAATATGAAATTTTATTATGATGAACAGTTTTGATAGCTACAAGAGGTATTTAAAAACGCTACAAAAACTGAAATAAAAACAAATATATGAACAAAAATAGTTACAATGTTGCCTCATATAGTAGACAACTGAGTCCGATTACAACATCAATAAATATGGTTTAATTCGCACAAATAAGTTTAATTATAATAGTAACCTTTTCGCTTTTAAGATGATAGGAGACCATAGGAAGTGTTTTGATCATACACTAGGCTTTATTTTGTCATGAGCAATCTTTATAATTAAGACACCTTCAAAACAATGTACCCTAAATGGAAAATGGAAATATACCAATAATATCGATAATGAAATTTCTAAAATCCTTAATATTTAAAATAAATCGTCATTATTGGATAAACCTTTTTGAATGTAAGTCGTTGTTGCAATTCAAGGACATGCAAAGTATAATAATTATATATACATCTTGAAAGACTGTTCTACTAGACCATCTCGGTCATTATATACCTATAGAGACCTTTATTTTTCACTTTGAACATTGTCAGGTGCTGTACTACTTATGGCATTCAGTGTAATTAGTCCAGGAAAATATTAAATATGTTCAAGCAAATCTTAGCATACCTTCTTGTTCAGCTAAACGAAGTCTCGGATACAAGTAAATTGCACCGATAATAATACTGCACACTAACACTAGATAAATCACTGCGATTAAAACATTTTTCCACTTCATCCATCGACGGCCTTTTTGCCTCTTTTGAAACGTATATCTAAAAACAACCAGTTACACCGGATAGCGAAAAACAGTGGACACTTACCCTTGCATTGTGGTATTAAACGTAAATATTCACACGCGAGACTGGACTGGAACATGTGGTAATATGTTAATTAATTAAGTTTCGTCCTTTTTAATAATGACTTCTGTGTTTTAGTTGTGAACGATAATTGGACCTCGACATACTGACGAAACTCAAAAGTCGTAATAATAAAACAGTTAAATATAGTTTACTTCTGTAACGTGACACCGCAGTGGCAAAAAATATACGCTATGGCTCCTATAGAACCTCTAATAAATTAGAGGAACGCTAAATAGATGATTAGATTGTTATGTTATAATAAATGTTAAAGATTTTTATGACGTCAAAATCAAATTAAAACAAACTTGAATCATAAATACATTTTATATCTTCAGTATCTTGAATACTTCTGGAAATTATTCAAAAAGGAAAACAAATTGATATTTGATAGGAATATTTTTATTATAAATAGGCTGTAGGTGTTACTGTTTAAAGCAAAACAAAATACCTACTATAAAGCAAAGCACATTTAATTTTATTAAATTCTATTGTTTCCTCTATTTGTTGTCGGTTCAGAGAATATACTTTTAAAATTCTATGAATGTGTTTTAGAAAACTACCAAAATTTATATTATTTAATACAAATGGTACTGCAAGGGTATTTGAATATTTTATTTTGGAACAATTATATGATGTATATCTCAGATTATCTCCAAAAGCCTTCTTTCATTAAAATAATTGAATCACATTCAAGCAAATATGGTACTAAAATTTTTCTAAGAAGTATAATAACGACATTGACGAAAACAAAAGGAAGAAAGAAAGAAAGAAAGGAAGTTTTTGGTCAAGTATTCAAGAACAATTAAAGATGTATACTTCAAATTTGATACAGTCAGATTCCTAATAAAGGCTACCTACATAATTATATATTTGATTATTGGTGTCAGAATTGGAAGAGTTTCGAAGGACCGGTATTGGCATAAGTCTGGTGAATCTACTGACAAAAGATCTGGACTGTTTACGAGATGCTGAGGATATAACTTAATGCTGGATGTTTTCCACAAAATCATCAGTTACAGATCTGACGGATTTTAACTATTCATTATTTGCTATTACAGATAATCTTTGGATAGGCCATTTTATAAATAAAACGTTTGTACCTCTTAGGGTTTTCTCACAAAATACAGCGTTCACTTGCATTTCGATTGTAGGTTTCTCAGACGAATGGATTCAACCTCTTCATAACTATATACCTCAAGTATTGAAAAATCTAGTCAACACTAAAGGGTACATATTGGATTTAGACCAGAAAATTGTTGAACTGATACGAGCTATATGATGACAATAATGAATATTGATAATTTCTTATTCAACACATCGTTTATATTTCAATCATGTTTGTTTGGGACATGGTGAATAGAGAGCAGTATAAAATTTCATCACAGTAGTATGTTAAATCATAAATTTATTTTGACAGCTTGAGCATGGAAAATATTTATAAAAGCAAAATGTACACAAGTGGTAGATCGTTATTTAACATATGTTTCAAATAGTATTCTTCCTACAACAGTCAACAATGAATATTTATAATCAATTTTTAAATACATACAACCACATAAAAGTATCTACTTATTAATTACTTTCTTGCTTGTCTTAATTCTAATCATAAGCAATAAAATGTTTGACTTAGATCGTAAAGATAATTTGCACAGACATTTGCATATTGCATGTATTTTTTTGTATACTGCTTATAGTTTACCATTATCTACTATTTTCATTATGTTTTCAATAGATTTATTAGTTTTCAAGTCAAATATATTTCACATAATGTGTATTTTAAAACTAAAAAATATAATTAGGTACCTATAGTGGAAAAAATTTAAATAGTAACTTTATATAGTTTATTTAACAATGCTATGTCAAATCAAATATCAAATAAGTAATACAGAGTTCAAAGTATCTGATCAGAATTATGTAGGTAGTACATAAAATGATTGGATTCAAATATAGAGTGGAATACACCACATTTTCCTTTTTAACAAACATTGTAATTATTCGGTTTCCAATATATCCTAATTTGATATTCTAGTTCGGAATAATAGTTATGCAAAAGAAAAATACAGTTTTATCATGTGTTGAAAATAACGATATACCAATCTTCTTTTCCACTAATTGAAAAATCTTACCATTTTCTGTACTAGTAGAGATTGCAGTAAATTGGCCACTGTATATATTTTAACTTAACCCTGTGTGATCCTCAAATGTAAATATTATCTAAAAATAACTGCCCGAAGTATCTCCAGTTGATAGTTAAAGTCAAGAGTCAATGCTAAAACGAATCTGAATTGAAGTATTTTCTATACATCTGTGATGAACACGATGAAAGAGGTATCTAAAACTAGTAGGTTTATATAAACACATACTCACTGAAAAAAAAGTATTTTGATCAAATGAGCAAATAGTTAAATCGAATTATTTGCCGTAAATGTTATTTTATTCTATTCAAATGTAAGTATATAATTTCGTCAAACTATGCGAAATATTTGCTGTAATCTATAATTTTTCTTAAAATTTATATTATTTGTAAATATATATAATTTAATTCAAATCTATTAGAGTTGTGAAATTTATTATCTCGGACTTTAGCTACAATATCTCTTACAGTTTATCATAAACTGCAAACATATTTGTTTCAAAACTACCAGTTACTTAAAATATGGATATATATTTAAAATTTAGTATTAATGTAGGAATGATTCAAGACAAATGTAGCATATTATAATCAAACTTATGTTTTCTTGAAAGAAAATTGTAGCAGGTCACAGAATAGCGTAGGTGGAAAGTAGCACGCTAGATGGCGCCACTTACGTTCTGTGTGGACACATCTCCTTGTGAGTAACAACACTAAAGTGGCTGGATCGTTCTTATAACGACATAATGATGAGGACCATCAATAAGTCCTAAACCGACCTATGACTGGTTAAACCTAGGAACGATCCTAGCTGTTGTACTACTAGGTGTTGTGAGTTTGAAACATAATAATTTTTATTACTGAGAAATATTTATATCCAAATATATTCTTAAAATAAGTATATACAGTCATTTGACCAAAACTATTTAATTTTGTATTAAACAAACGATACATTTAATATACAATACAAAACATGTTTCTTAAAATCTATGTAGAAAATAAAATTAAGAATAGAATTCGTTTAACCGTAAGTAAAAAATATTTGTTTTAAATGCTGCCTATTTTTAAAGTAAGAAATTATATTTCTGGGTAGAAATTTAAAGTTTTTAAATAAATAAATAATTTTCTTGCGATACCTTAAAATCAAATGTTGTACATTTGAAGCAAGATTTTTTTTTTGCGTGTACTTCTCGCAAATATTTGTAGTTTATAAAGAAGACAATTATTCCTCTTAAATTTTTATTCAACTTAAATGTTTAACAAATTTATTACGCACTATCAGATGGTAAGATTGTTTAAAGGATAAGTTTCACGCAATTCTACTCATTTTATTACAATGTTATAAATTGGGAGCATGAATTATGTGTAATATTAGGAATGCAGTAGATAAATATGACATATCTATATACAGTTTATATCACTTATATTAAATTAATAATTTAAACAGTAAATCCGTGGATTTGAAGCTTTTTTATCACAATTTTAATATATAACATATTTTTTTCTTAAAAAATGTTATAGCAACAGTGTGAGTTAAATAGAGAAAAATAATATTTTGTAACTTTTCTTTTAAAGAATTACATTACACTTGTTTAAGAACTTTGCTAGATTATTTCCTTCCTAGATCAACTCAGCATTTGTATACTTATACATATACACTATTTGATCCACAGATTCTTGGTGTCCGAACTAAGCATATTAAATAATTATGTACAATAAAGTTAGTTAGGTAACAATAGATTTGTTTCATATGAAACTACTGTACAATATTAGAATACGGTCCACGATCCAATATATCTAGTCTAAACTATAGTTGTCATGGATTTGGCATCATCAATAATAGTATTCTCTTGGACGATATCCTTGGATTGTTTCCCTTAAGCTGCAGGCGGAGGTATTGGTATGTTTTTATTACAGACAAATTTGAAGCAGTCTCCATTTTTCACGGCATCTATGACTTCGTGAAGGTGGTGGGACACCATATTAACTACATCAGGATGTGCCCTAAAAGAGAAAAAGTATCTAAATGAATAGTGTAAATATAAAGCAGACAAATAATATTTTGTTGTGTCAGAAATAATTCCTCTAAGATATTCCTCACGATAAGAATACAATTAAAGGGCAAATTTTCCATTACCACAATTCATATCTTTACTGACTTTAGTGTTTGATTTGAATGAATATCATAAAATGAACCATATGCTCAAAATAGTAAAAAGTGATCGGAATATCAGTTAAGACGTTTTAAATATGGATGACACTCAAATGATCGATATGCTGATACAAAAAGATCAATAAATTTTTACATAGTCCCAATAATCTAATAAGAATAAAAAAAGACTGCAAAAATATAGACACCGTTTCAATCTGTCCCAGATTTGTCATCGATATAAATATGTAAACAGCATAATTTATACTTTATAAATATTATCTACATCGAGGAACATAAATATTCCTTTCTATATCACCACAGTTTAAGGTTTGAGATAAATATGTTATCAAGATCACGTTATTAATCTTCGCACATTATTTTATGCGAAAATGGTGTCGAGATTAAATTACTATGCGAAGTTAACCTAAATTAATACATCAAGTTAAGGTCACTGTATATCTGTTATGGCTTTTGTACTGATTTGATGAAAATTCATATGACTATAAAATGATTTGACGTATTCAGTTTTTTCCTTTAAATGTCTGAGATGTGTCTATAGAAATTTATATTAAATTAAATTGTTTATATGCTCATTTATATACTAACTTGTTTATGCTATAATAGTAGGTATTAGATTAGTCACTTTTTCTCTATATATTGGTTATGCTTTAAAAATTCAACGAAATACTTTGTTATCTAAAGCAATAATTTTGTTACTGAAAGAAACAAGTATATTAATAATAAATAAACTCTTTATTTGAGATACAACAAATGTAATTGCGGATACATGACATTTTTTTATTTAACTTGAACGGTTTGTTATTGAGAAATATCTGTGTTTTCTCAAAATCTATACCAACAAAAAAATAGCAAAAACATAAAATTATTTAAGGTGATCTTAACTACTTCTATTGGTAAGCAATATAATTTAACTGATTATTGCATTTTTGAATTTAATAGAAAATTTCTCCTTAAAAATAAAATTTTGATTCTGGACACTTAATGAGATGACGAAATTTTTCTAACATACATTTTGAGGTTAAAACCGATAGACACTTTGTTAAACAAATTACCTAAATAGAATGAAGCGCCTGACCAATTTAACAGGAAACAACGCGAGTCTATTAATTATTGTAAATATCCTGTTGTTGATATATGTCGGTGTCCAAGTTAGAAATGTACAATATTCATTCACAGAAAAAGTTTAAGTTGTTTGTGTGAATTTAATGATTGTGTTTATTTCAAAACTCTGACGATACAAAGAATATTACAAACTAGTATCTGAATTTTTACTATTGTCGGAATTGAATAAACAATTTCTACTCGATGCTGTCCGCCTAAAAAAATGTTCATTTCGCTGATCTGAAACACTTTAGGTAATAATTTATACAAGCTCAAAGTTTAAAGAATTTTTAATATAATTGTATATCTACTATAACTGAAACACTTTAAAGTAAATTTTTTAGCATACCCACAGACGTAACGTTATACAGGATGTTTCCTAACTTCATGTTACAACTTTAATAGGTTGCTTTTTAGATTTTTTAAGCTACCAACTTGAATACCAGCTGTGACTAGCTAGATCGCCAGATCTGAATCTCAAAGACTTCTTAACTGGGACTATTGGAAATAATATGTTTCTCGCGAAAGTGTTGTCTATCAGAGAGATGTCATAGCTCTTAATAAAGCTGTTGCAGAATTTATAGAGGAAAACCCTACAAAGGGTTCATACTTTCAACAGACGAACACATTTTGTGACAATAACTTGTTTTCTAATATCATTTCCATCACGCAGTTTAATTTGCGTCAGTCATTAAATTTCTAGAATTTGATGATATTTGGTATAGCTGATATGGGAACACTTTCTTGTCAACAAAACTTTTAACCAAGTGAGCGAAATTGACGTACAATGCTATAGCTGATACGCGTTTGTTTCCGAATGAAACATTTTCTTATCAACAAAAATATTAACGGGGTGAGTGAAATTGGCGTACAATGAACCCCGTGAGGAGCATCTGGTGGCACGAACACGCACGTTTATGGTGAAAGTAAGATCCAACAGCGCAGAGTCAGCATTCCAAACTCATCTTCAACAGGTTGGCGGCTTACGGCGCGCAAACTTTTTATTACACCCGGCAGGAAATTGCCGAATTTCTTCCGCAAGACAGACGCGAGTTATTCGAGTACGCACCTGTTTCATCTCCGGGCGATTTGTTTTTCATTGGCTCATTTACTAATATTTATATCGCAAGTAGTTATATAATTTGGATTTCTCAAATCGCTTAAAAGCATTTTTGAATTATCATAGGAATTTTAATTCTCTGCTTATCTCTAAATGTATCTAGGAGTCTTTTAGGTGGCAGTAAATTACACAGTCGCACAAAAAAAAGTCCAAGCCTAAGAGACCCACATATCATCTACGAAGGAATTCGATGCATTGAACACGATCCTGTAGTAGTTAAAATTCATGACTTGGTCATGACAAATTCATGACCAAATAAAAGAAATATTTTTTTTATTATTTGTGTTCGATAACTAATCGATTCAAGTCCGACCACATGTTTATACGTAGTAATATGCGTGTATATGGTAAAATGGTTATGGGATAGAATTGGTTAGTATGAGAGAATACAATGTTTTATGGAGGAATATGGATGAATTCGAGGTAATATGGGTTGGTATGAGGATATATGAGTATTTGTGAAGTTTATATAGGTTAATATGGTCAGTTTTTTTCCAACTTTAGTTTCCAACAAGATTCGGTGAAATACAGGCAGGTCCAAAATCGACCCTCCAGAAAACGTCGTTTTTCTCAAATCAAACTTGGAATGACCTTAAACCTGATTTGATAATGGACCTTGGATTCAAACTCAAAGACTTGAAAAACGGTAATCGATTTCTCGTTTTTTTTCTTGATTTCACCTTTAAATAACCCCCAAATGACCTGATGTAGACAAACTGACCTCGGAATTGAACTCAGCTGTCCCAAAAACAAAAATAACAGGCGGTTAGACTTAATTGCTCGGTTTTTTCAAATTGACATTGAAATGACCTTGAGACGACCTTTAAATGACCTGGTACAGACAAACTAACCTCGGATTTTAACCCAGCGACCCCATAATCCTGTATAATAGGTGGTTGGACTTGACTGCTCGGCGTTTTCTCAATTTGACCTTGAAACAACCTTAAAATAACCTCCGATTCAGACTCAACGGCCCAAAAAGCCTGAACTACGAGAGCCTTTGATTTAACGCACTTTTTCTCAATCTGACCTCTAATCGACCTTGATTCTGACTAAGAAGGATGGTAGAGGTTCCGTTTGGTGTGGAATCGATTAGTTATTGGATGTAAATAATAAAAACAAATTTCAATTCAATATATCATTTTCGTGGTATTTTGGTGTGCTGAACCATTGGTAATATTTACCTAATAACTTCGATATTTCTCAGAAAATCCTTTATTTGGGTGAAAACTAGCCTAAATATGGGTCAAAGCTGATATATTTCTCAATTTTAGTCCAAATATATCATTTTCGTAGTATTTTGAGGCGCTAAATGCGATACAATTCCGCATATTTTTGTTTCACAGGAATTTTTGTAAGCGTTAAATATAAAAATAAAAGTATTACAACATTATCAAACGTACTTAGCATTAATATTTTCATCTGATTAAATATTTATATATACTGTTTTCATTAAATAAGGTTAATAATTAATTATTATTGATTACAATATTGTATGATAATTAAAATAGTCATAATTACTGCACTCAATGCAAATTACGGACTGCTTAGGAACTTCTTTATGCTCAATAAATAAAAGATTTAACCTCAAACTGTCTCTGAAGTTACTATCTAACAATTTGCATATGCATAGTAAAGATTTGATACCAAACGGCAAAATAATCATATCAAATACATATACAAAATTCGTTGCATCGGACTAGACCACTATATCCTTGTTTTCGAGGTCGCTGAGTCCGAATCCGAGGTCCGTTTGACCTTGTCAGGTCAGGTTAAAGGTCAAACCAAGAAAAATTCCCTATGGCAACCATGGGTATTATATGTTTTTGGGGTCGCTGGGTTCGAGGTGTGTTTAACATTGTTAGGTTAGGTTCAAGGTCATTATAAGGTCATCCAAGGTCAAACTGAGAAAAATTCAGTATAGCCGGGGCAACCACAGTAATTAAATGTTTTTTCGGGTCACTGAGTCCAAATTGGGTTCCTTTTTTCTCTACTGGGTCAACATCAATGTCATTTTGAGGTTAAACTGATTAACTTCTAAACGCACCAAAAGACTCTCAACATACACGAATCTTCACATTAACATGATCTTTTTCAGTGACATTTGAAAATCCGACACTATAATTTTATACAGCATTATTGATTACTAACACTTTCATCCTTCGCGGTAAGAAAAGTGCTCGATAGTTGCCGTGCTTGAAGTTGAGGAAGAATTTTGATAGACAGTTGAATGCGTTATATGGTAGGTACATGTCAACAATATAGTAATATTCGCTTCGTATTCTATGGTGAAAGATGAATATTCACATTCCATTAATGATACATTTTTTTATAACTCGTCCGCCCGAATATCTCTGCATTAATGGACATAAAATATCTTTACTGACAAGCCTAACTCCATTAAAATCATCAAATTTTAATCATCAATCCTTTAAGTAAAAGCCTAATTTCTATGATGGTTCTAATAGAGCTTTTACAATCCTGCTCATGAAGAATACTGGAAACAATGACAACTGCTCCGAAAGGATATGTATAGAATGATTAACCCGATATAATGATTTTTTTCTCGATTTGACCTTAAAATGAACTTGAATCTGACCTGACAAGTTTCTTGGATACGGACTTGACGACCCCAAAAACATAAAAACCATGGTTGCCTCCACTGTAGGGGATTTTTCTTGGTTTGACCTTGAAATAACCTTTAACCTGGCAAGGTCAAACGGACCTCGGATTCGGACTTAGCGACCTCGAAAACATAAGGATCTAGTGGTCTAGTCCGATGCACATATATTCTTTTGTGGGGCTGTGTTTTGACCTACAATTAACAAATAATAAAACGAGGCCAATACCAATTAAATATTTATTTTTAATTTCTTTCCCTTTTTCTAATGTAAATAAGTAATAAATTTTAAACAAATATAAATGTTATTTCTAGTGAATGAAGTTAACTACAGGAAAAAAAACATTGGAACTCAATAAAGACTACTTGATATAAAAATCGTTAATGATTGTGAAAAAAGTAATTATTATGGAAATTTAAAATTTATTGAATTAATAGTTTTTGAATAATTTCTCGCGACATAATTTGTTGGAAATTTAGTTTATTTTAATGTATTATATAAGTATTTTTACCGCAAATTATGCTGAAAATAAAAAATTACGAAAAGCTCATTTTTGTTGATTTTTCAAAATGACAGCTTTTCTGTAAAAAAATTGAGGTCGCAAAGTTGATATTTAGGAAGAGCATCTCAAAATCATAAACACTGTCAAGTGTTTAAAAAATTAACTAAAATTCTATAAAACTATTTCACCTGACCTCCTTTTTCATCATATAATTCCTGGACTATTTATTACAACACATCGAGACATTGCCACATCAAACTGATATGTAACATACCAAAATTATTTAATCTTGGGAATTAATATTTCATTGTTGATTCCACATCTATTATCCCTGACAAATTATTAACAATTTGCAAGCAACAATTCCATCTATCAGATAATTTAGGTGTGACGCACTAGGAACAGACTAATTTCAGTAGCGTACAAAGCTAAATTTCCTAAACTTGTCTATAATATAACAGTACAGTGAATTGACATAATTAACAAATTTTGAATAAGAGACAAACATTTTAAATGTTTAGTGAATATAAATTAGTTGCTATACGTTGAACTAATCGATATTGTTTATTAGGCTTATTTAGTTTTTACTAACTTGCGTTTGTGTTTACAAACAAAAATTGTAAACAAAATGAATAGTCGCGTGAAGGGAATCCAGACCCCGGAAGCAGATACCACATATCAAGTAAACATGGTTTTAAAACATATCTAAGTTCCTGTTAACATGAAAAATACATTAATTTTCTTTTCTAACAGTTCTTCTAGGTACAGTTAAATAAATGAGTTTCCGTGTCAAAAAGTGTCATACTGCAGATATTCAAAAGACGAAATAACGTTCTTTATTTATTTAGACGTACTATGAAGATTTCACAATATACAGGGTGATCTAAAAATCAAAAAAATCTTTTTACATTGCTAAACATATACATAACTACATACTTGAAGTGGTTGGGAATTTGATCTTTAGATATCACAACGCAGTGTGTTTTCTCCGTTTTAAATTAAAAAGGAACAACATTTTCCATTCATAATGAAACGCCTTCTATTTAGAAAAGACCTGTACTTAATGGACAATAACAGTTATAAAAGACAAGTTTGATCAAGAATTTGTTTCATGTAACAGTTACATTTGCACTTTTATAAAGCGACTGTACGCCACTGGGCAGCATCTACTAGACTGCTCGGGTGCTCTCAGAAGTTATGCTTTCTCTGACCCACTTCGCGGTGCTTAACCGTGACTCTTTAAGACACAAAAACTACTTTCTACTTCCTTCAGTCGTTTGCCCCTGAAGCGGTTGTGCGTTTCCGTCAAGTGCATCAGTGGGTAGATCTACCCATTTGATTACGCAACAGTTACGCAGATGAGAACCACATCGATGATGAATGACAAACATTTTTTTGAGTTCTAATGGAACCTAAACGCGTAGCGCAACTATAATCTTTCATGACATTCATTTGCCAATGACCTCCATTAACGTAAAAATTGAATCATTTGTGAAATAAAGACAGTTCCATATGCGGGATTTCTTGTAACATTGTTTTTATTTAATCAAACCGCTAATGCGTAACATTTCTAAAAAAATATTTTTTAATTAAATATTTATCGACATATTATGTGGTGACTCAAGTAATCAACCACTTCGATAAAAAATCAATGTCTAAGAAATTAAATCATTGTTGTCTTCAAAGGCTATTATTATTTCAGCAATAAAGTTGTTTACTATGCACTACGACTTAAAATAATTACATGTGTAATAGTTAGACTTACGTTGACATAAGAGAGTCCATCCTTTTCTCCATCAACAGCACTTCATCTGGATTCTGCCGTATCATGACCTCACAAAATATCCTCTTGGAACAAGGTGTGTCTGACCAGAATTGTGGAGCAGTCAACATCCTCAAACTGGCGTCTTTCTCAACCCGACCTGCCAACCCTTGCATGTAATATTCATGTTCTATACTCCTCCTGAACCTTTTGTGCTCCTCTTCAGGATTTTTGCCAGGTTCCTCCATAATAAATACGATATCATTAGGATTGACCCCTTGCAGTGACCTCATATCTACGGGATTCAAAAATCTACCAACAGCTGCAGCTCCTAGACCTAGAGCGGCACCTCCCGCTACAAGACCTAACGCTGGAAGTATGACGGAAGTGCCAGCGGGGGTTATCAGACCAACTTTATCTTGTGCTCGCTGCACGCCTTTACTGAGACCTAAATTGTGCGAAATTTTCTGCGTGGCTTCCATTATAGGATCAAACACTGGACGAGTTAGTTGGTGCATCCTTTCGAATCCACTTTGTACGTTGTCTTTTATGCTTTCAGTGATTTTCATCCAGAATGGTTGGTCGGGTGTAGTCTTCTTTATGTAGTAGGTGTTGTAAGGGTAATTCATAACGTCCTTCCTGTAGTAGTCGACGCTGTTTATGTTGTTGTAGTACTGCGACCTTTTCCCACTGTTGTCTTTATTGTCTTCATAAGGCTGAGATTTTTTCTCTTTGTAAGAATCCCTTGCTAAGTCTTCTTCAGGAGTTGCCTTTGCAGGTTGAACACCTAGTTCCGGGTGTGCGTATTGAAGTACTGGTGTCCTAACACCTTCATTGAAATTAACTGGACTTAGTTTGTTACTTGGCGGACTATAAAGGGCAGAGTCTGGATAATTTTGTTCGCCAGGGTAGTACAGCATTCTTCGTTGAAATTGCTGGTTGTTGTCCTGTTGTTCGTACGACCTATACATTCTCCTATTAAAGTAATCTTTTTTAGATTCTTGAGCATTTATTTCTTTGATGTAATCTATCAATTTAGTATCAACAGCTCTGGAATTATCAGCTTTAGTAAATGGACCAATCCCTGATGCACTGGTAATCTTTACAAAGCGTTTATCTTCTTCACGTTTTTCTTGGTTAGGTTTTCCCTCATCGATATTATCCCTAACAGTAAAAGGTCCTAAGGGTTTTTGTATTGTTTCTGGTTTCTTAAAGTTATCTTCCTTTGTGAAAGGACCTACAGACTTACTATTATCATTATTAGTCTTCACTGTTCTACTTGCATACACCAGTTCACCAACTGGTACTGCTGGAGGAGGCTTGTAACCCTCCTCGTATGGCACTAGTTTTCCGTTTATCACTCTAGCGTTCCTCCAGGTTTTGGTGTCGGATGGGTCATCGGGTACTCTGACTCCGTGTATGACTGGGATGCCGTCGTCATCTATGTGCATCACTGATCGTCCTCGTTTTTGGTCCTTGACGTTCTTCACGAACACTTCATCCGAACGAACTGTTACTGGTTTTGGGACCACGTGAGGAATCCTAAAAGTTTATTTCATTAATAACTTAATAATTTAAGAGTTTAGTTTTTTATAATTTTACCACAACATATAATATATTGTGATTTTTAGAAGGAGGAGTAGATGTTCTCGAATTACCCTATATGCCATTTCGTTTACCAATTTCATGTTTGATGCGATGATATTTTATGGCCATTTATCAACAGATCTTCTACCTTGACCTACACGAACTTCTATTAACTTACTACTGCTATTACTTTCTGTCTACTTGTACAATATAAATAGAATGCGGTTAAGTGCCCATTCTACAATGGCACTTGAATTTATGAAGCATTAATTTTGTTTACTTGCTTGCGAGTTATATTGTTTTTAGGAAATAAGTTATGTAGATGAATAAAACATGTTAATTGACATATTTTATGTGAAGGACATTTACACTATGAGCAAATATAAAGACAAAACAGTATACCTAACTTCTGTAAACAAACTGATATAATTTACTTTTATTTTGGTTGTATTTTATGGGTATAAGGATTGTTGGCCATCTCTAAAGAGTCTTGGAGAATTTTAAAGAACTTTGATCCAGCTTTGCAAAAGGGTTAGAAAGACAAAGCAATTGAAGAACCTAATTAGAAATGTTAAGTCGTGGTAAAACAATTATCGCTAAATTAGATGTTAGTATATTTTTAGATAACACCTACCTATCAGTGTCAATAACATTTCCCAAGCTATTCGAAATAGGTTTGATGCTACTATCATTTCTGACCACTGCAATCGAATCCAGCCTTATCAGCTTAGGTTCATAATATGTAGGAGACAACGGTATCCAGTTCGTGAATACAGCCCTAGGATTCTGGCTAGCATAATTGTTATTATCCAGGTTGTGGTAAGTGAATTCCTCACCATACCTAACACTATTATAACTCTGAGGAGGGGTAGATGTGCCTTGGTAGTTTTGGGAAGGTGTTCTAGCTTTAGAATCCCTTCGTTTTACAATAAGCTGGGCTACGCTACCATCTCTAGTCATAACGTTTAATGTCTGGGTCTCCTCAGGGTTCAAACTTCTGGATACTTTCAGTTCCGTTCTGGTGACTGTTACTGGGGGTTTCTTGTTCGGGTCAGAAGCTTGACCTGCAGTCAGGACACATAGTAACACGAGCACCTGCAAAAATAAGAAAATATTTTATATAAGGATTATGTTCCATTGTTTTATTATATGTTTCTAGGAAGCAGGAAATAGGTAAATAGTAAAACTATTTGTTTGACAAAAAAATATTATTTTACTTAAGGAAAAAGCTTATCTGATATTTATTTTATATGTATTTTTGTAATTTAGGAATTAAACGATTTTTTATATATCTCTACAACTTTATTATTTGTTTTATAGTTAGTTATACATTAATGCTAGGTCTGTGGCTAGCAGGTGCCACTCTGGGTTCAGATATGGCGTCATCTAACAATAAACAATTTTATATTCACACCTTAAGGATTCCTAGCCACAATTTCAATGCCACATACGAGTATGTAATGGATTTAATTTAAATAATACACCAAAATGTATTCCTAAAATATATGGCTGTCTATTTTTATGCTTGTTCTAAAGATGGGTAAGGACTTTTGGATTTAACAAACATTATTTAGACAAGCATTTCGGTGAAATACAGTAGGCTACATTGAGATGCATGTATTAATGAAATTATATAGCTTGTTATCTTTATAAAAATTTAAAGCATTTGTATCTAAAATATATTTCCTTAATTTTTCTTTCTCTTCTATTTGCACCTCAAAAATCTCTTTCAAGTAAATTATAAATGTCTAAAAACATATGGTAATTATTTATTTTCTTCAATTTAAGCGCAAAGTTACCATTTGATTCAGTTTTGCAAATGTTGCAAAATTAGAACTACGTATGTTATTGAAATTGTACAAAAAATTGTTGGGTGGTATACTCTCTTATGTAAATCATCGACCTAAATGTTGAGATTCTACCGGATCATACATATTTGTCATGTGGCTGACTTAGAAATTAACTAGTGCGAAAAAGTTGCTCAAAATTAGCATAACGTATAATGCTTACCGATTTATGCCATATGAAAGTGAGCATGGTGAAATGAAGGGTACATGATCTAAAAAAATAATTTTTTTGTTCGTTCCCATATGTAAATCATTGACTAAATTTCCAAGACAAAACGAATAACAGTTAAATAAATGTGATAAATTTGTTTTAAGGTTAAATAAAAGAAGCAATATATTACGGGAAAGGTAAATTCCATAAGTTATTTGGAAAGTAAGTTTAATTTATGAGATACAGAGTTGGTTAGTATTAAAGAAGAACCTAAAATATGCGTAAAAAATAAAAAAAAACAGTGACTTGCTAATTTATGCGTTTTTTTTTTCAGAAAAATGAGGTCACCACTTCCCATAGCTATGCCATTAGTGATATGATCACAGTTTACTTTTGATAATATTCAATACTTCACAGTAATTGATCATCTTCATGTCTTTTTCCGCTTAATAACCTGCAAGTCCGTTTTGTAGGCTTTTCGTGGTGCAACTATTTGTCATTTAGCGCAACGAAAAAAGTCTCCTTTACCTAAGTTTGTAGAAAGTTTGACTGTACATGGGAATTGAGGAGAGTGACAAAATTATTTCTTAAAACGGACGCAAATAATTTTCAGTTATATGTAAGTAAACATAAACCGTAATGTTTGCAGAAACGTATCTTAAAGCTAATATTTTGTAATATGAAACATGGGTATTCGTTATATAGGGTGATTTCACTTTAAATACAGAAACTACAGGACTAGATTCATTACCAAAAAATAAGTAGAGTTTGCTCTATAAGCCTTTTTTTTCTGTGGGACTTGATATACAGGGTGTTAAAGTGCAGCCCCCTTCCGCACAGCCCTTTGGCTTTGGATTTGGGGGTTGTCTCATTTCTGCGGTGTGTTTTTTTTAGTTTCCGTATTTAAAGTGAAATCACCCTGTATAAGTTAAGTGTTCTAATTTGATTTGATTTGTAAATTTGAAAGTTGACACTCAAAATATTGGTTCATATAAAACGAAATAAACAGACAATTTTCTTCGTCTGCGAATACAGTGCATTGGAGAGGAGTATTAACGAAGATATTTTCTATGTACCCAATCATCACACATTTTGAAAGAAAAACTTTACTATTAATGAAAATCAATTTATTTAAAAGCTAATAAAGGTAAATATACAGGGTGTGTTTGAAAGTGTGATATTCCCTTTAACTCACATTTGCAGGTATTAAGATTAAGCCTTATCAATAAAACTATTTTAATAACCGCGATATTTACATCCTTTAAGTTCGGTCCTTAGATGATCTTGTTACATGGGTCTACAATAGATTATACTCAATATAATAATACATGTTACATTGACTGATATATGCAACTGACATGTTTAATTAGTAAACAACATAACAGTTCTATTGATAATGCGACCATTATTACTATTACACCTTAAGAGGTTGAATTCTAAGGAAAGTTTATAGGGAGTCAATGCCACAGCGACTCATCACCTACTTTCACCTCTGTCAACTTGTTTTTCCCATGACTACAAACAGCTCAACAGTTTCAAAGAGAAAATAAGATTTACTATTCTTCATGCTTTTCAATGCGCTAAGGTTTTTACAGACACGAATATATCTTCACAAAAAAGGAATAAAAAAAAAACTTTTGTACACTTATTCAATACAGTCACAAGACAACGACATTGCAACAAATTTTCCTGATTGATTCTTTTCATTATAGTAAGAAAACGGGAGTAAAATTTGTTCAACTCTCAGAGGGTATTTGATAACGAATAGAATAAAAGCAAGAATGTGTTTTTTATATGTTTTAAAAGTTAAAAGTCTTAACATTTGTTCATTATGTTTGCAATACTTATTTTAAGTACTTAATTCAATAAAAATATTAAAACAGTTAGGTTGAAATTGACTTCTAACCGAAGTAATATGTTCATTTTATCGAGAGAACAGCCAATTTCCTTTCCTGAGTCAATCCTAAGAAAGTGAAAGTAGATGCCACACGTTACTTATTTAGCTATACGAGTACAGTTACATCTAGAGCTAACAGTGAAACAAAGTAAGATAATTTCTTCTCAGTATCATGTTCATGGACCGTAAAGAAGTACACTAAAACGTTTTTATGGGGCCTTGACCGAGCAATTATGTTCACTCTCTTCACGATTTAGTCATTTAACTGAGCTGATTTTAATGGCACTTTCCTTTTCGAGAAAAATTCATTAACAGGTGTTACTTTAAACAGAAGGTATATATGATTTATGTTTTAATGATCAGAGAAGGAAATAGCAAAAAACTGGAAGTATTTAGAAAAAAAATTAAAAATTTGAGGTCAGTAATGGACATTACAAAAAAAATTGGAGTAATTAAGTTTTTGAGAAAGTTTTGACATATTTTATTGTTAGTCATTTGAAAATACCTCATTTTACATCATTGTACTTGTTTGTGACATTTTTGCATATTTCTAAAATCGATTCTAATTCACAATGACAAAAGGGTAATTAAAAAATAACTTTTTGAAACATTGAAGTTAGCAATACAAAGCTTCGTGAAAAGATATTTCTGCTTAATTTGGAGAAAGAAATCATTGAATGTAACATTCTCCGAATAGTTTACTTTTCCGATTGTCTTCGGACGTGTAGGGAACTCTTAGGGAGGACGAAATTTAAAAATGTGATTTAAAAAAATATTACATTCCTGACTAAACATTTTTTTATTCTAGATCGCATAGAAAAATTACATAAGTTATATTAGCAATGTATTTCCAAATTTATTGTTAATTTTTAGAATACCCGTTTACTCAAACTACAGTAAGAAAACTAAGAGTTTTACGGTAAGACAAACAGAAGACAAACATTTTGCGTATTAAAATGACAAATGATTGACCGAAGAATTTAAAAAGTTTTTTTCATTTATATATCAATAGTTGCTCAAACCAAATTCGTATTTCGCGAATGTTACGTAACAAATACGTGCAATTAATTAATAACTCTCATTCGTGACAAATTTGATGTTGCGTAGGTTTGGAATTTGTTTCCAATTTGTTTATTAGTTATTACATAATACAATATTTAATTCAGAGTATTAAAAATTGGTAGTAATCAGTCTAATCAGTAGAATAAAGTTCTAAAGAAAATGGAAGAACCACTATAAACCTGTGGATGATCCTACTGGTAAAGAATGGTATATCTAATCTATATACAGGGTGTTCAACCTAAGAGGGATTCTTTTGTAACTCTGTTACTGTAAAATGCAGGCAACTTTTATTAAAAATTTTACAGTTGCAGTGTGTTACAGAAGAATCCCCTCTTAGGTGGAACATCCTGTATTTACAACCTACAATGATAGCAAAAGGATAATACGAAATTTTCAAAGATAAGACTTATTATTTTCTAATGTGTAAAGCTTCAGTAGAGCAACAAATATGTGTATAAATACATTTTAATCATTGAATCATGCTGAAGATGTTATATAATCCTGCTACACATGATTATGGACAAACATTAATAACCTAATAAAAAAAGCTGCATTTAATAGACACATTATAATATTTCTACGATTGTCAACGCCTTTGACCTCGATTTGAAAAGGAAGAATAAAAATCTTTACTGTAAAAGCCATAATGAATGGATTACAGCTTCATTCTATAAATTAAGTATCACTTTCAGGTCAAGAATGTTCACCTTTGTTTTTTTTAACCTAACACAGTAAATATCCAGACCTTGTCGTGACTCATCAACGTAGTATTTATTTTCCTCGTTTATTATATTGTCAGTAAATCGTTAGAAGGTATGGGTCTTGTATTAATCGTGGAATGTCAAGCTGCCATTAACGAAGTGACTTAGAGTACACGTAACGCTATTATCACGTATTGTGTCATATTTTTATTTGTTTGTCTAGTGGGTGAGATGTAATCAATATTTCTACTTATATCTCCAAGGTGACAGCTACTGTTGTGTAGGATTATTCAATCCGAATTCTTCAGATTATTTCCTCTTGAAGAGTTAAAGGCCATTATTTTGTTTTCTTGTCTTTTAAAATGTGTCATTTGAAAGAATTGAAATATCAAAAAGCACGTGTCAATCTTAAATTGAATAAGAGGACTCTTAAAAAT